GTCTCCCCCCTCCTTTCCTCTTGCATATAGGAAGTCACTCTTATAAGACTTTCTACCCCAATAGCGAGCTGTCAGCAAAAATGTTCACTGCCAGGGTCAGAATTCTGCATCTACATTCAAGACCAGGTGAATGCCCCCGGGTGTGGACAAAGGGATGAGTCTTTCCCCAAGGTGAAACCCCAGCAGGAGGACTGATGCTAGACTACTAAGGACGTGAGCTTCTGTTGAAACACGTTATCCAAAGAGCGCCGTTGGGCCAGAACCCCGGAGCTGACCTGGCCCCTTTTTGCATCGTTTTAAGCAGATGTGCCATTATTTGATTTGTTATTTAAAACTCTGGCTCCTGGGTGGGGACAGGTTTTCTGGGAAATGGGACACTTTCAGGGTCTTAGCTGTTCATATATTGGGGCTGTCCCCTTTTTGGTAATCGTTTGGTTTGCCTTTTTCCCTCCTTTTCCTGGGCCTGTCCATTGGGGAACTAAAAAGTGGGAACAAAACAGCCCACCGGTCCCCCAAGGCCTTAGACCAGCCAGTGGCACTAGAGCATAGCACAGCTCCGCCTCTCCTTCGGAGGCCCCACCCCTTGAGCTGTGTTCAGGGGTTTGCTGCTTTGGTCCTGGCTCTCAGCGGCCAGCCCCGCCCCCCGGGGGACCCCGCCCCTATACTCGAGGCCACGCTCACATCCATTAATTGGCCGGCAGGTGGCGCTGGCGCTCAGCCCAACTCCTCACGAGCCCCGCCCCTCCCTCGAGGCTCCACCCCCTCGAGGTCTAACCCTCGTTCATTAGGTAGGTAGCCGTCAGGGGGTAGCCTTGCTCCGCCCTAGCAGGCCCTGCCCCGCCCCACCAGGCCCCGCCCAGCAGATGGCGGGGGGTGGGGGGAAGGAGGCTCCGCCCCCACAACCCCGCCCCTTGTAGGCCCCGCCCCGTCCGTTGGGCGGCCGGCAGGAGGCGCCGCGCCACGCGCGGGGCGTGGGGCGCGGGCGCGGGCTAACGGCGGTGTGGGAGCCGCGCGGGAACGCGGCGGCGGTGGCGGGCTGTGGCGGAGGTAAGCGCGGGTTGCTCGAGGAGCGGCGGCCGGGGCCCCGGGGCGCAGAGCTGGCCGGCGGGCAGGCCGCGGGGCGCGCGCTGGGGCAACGGGGCCCTCTCGGGGCATCTCCCGGGCCATTCCGGCCTGGCTTGTCCTGTTGTCATGGAGACCGGCCACTGTCGGGCCCCCGGCGCGGCCCCGGCGGGGGGGAGGGGGGTGGGACCCGGAGGGGGGCGAGCGCGGGCGAGGGCGGCCGGGCCCTGCGGGTTCCAGGTTCGGCTGTGGCCACCGTCCCCTGAGACCCGGGAGTCTGGCCCTCCGCTGCAGGGCATCCCAGTCTCCCTGGTGGTCCGTTCGAGGAGGTCTGGCAGCGCGGGCGCTGCACGGGAGCAGGGCATGGGGGTCCGCGCCCTCCCTCCAGGGTGGGCGTGACATACCCCCCCCTCCCCCGGCGCGCACAACCGGTCCTGGTTTTTCTGCTCACATAGCAGCGCGCTCCCCACTTCTGTGCCAGCTGAAAGCATTGTCTCCCAGCTATTTCTGTACCACCTCCAGCCCTGTACCACCTCCAGCCCCTCGACAAATACTGCAGCTAAGAAAACAGATGCTGAGCTGGAGCTCGGGCCCCCCCACCACCCCCAGGAAGAAACTGTCTTATTTCCCATCAGGGAGCCGGTTGGTAGGACCAAGGTGGGGGGGAGCTGCAGACCCGCCTGCTCAGCACCCCCCACACACCCTGTTAAGTGGTTAATCTGAATTGCCCAAAAGAATTTGCAAGTGGAGGGTGATTACAGGTGTCTCCAGTTAGTACCTCTTGTGCATTCCAGAGAGGAGCCGGTCCTTAATCCCATTGGTGGGAAAAGTCACCTCTTAAGAGGGTAGCCTGTCAGAATTACATCTGATTAAATTATTTTTGTAGTTGACAGCACTGCTCTGGCTAGAGCTGTCAAGGTAGGATTTATGGAGGGTGGGGACAAAGCCGAGCCTCAGAGTCTACCCTCTTCCTTCCCTGTCCTGGTGGAAATTCTAATGAGTTCCACATTGCGGCATTGGGCCGGCCATGTGCCTCCACCCATTTCATCAGCCCGGTTCTGACCTCGCTCATTGCACTCACTGGTGTGACTTGAGCTTGTTTTCATCAGAAATTGGATTCTTTCTGGAGAACAAGAGAAAAACATCACCCGAGAGAAGCAACAGCAAGTGTCTTACACCCTTGGGCCCGTGTTTCCCCCAAATGTTTGTGTGAAAGAGGAGTGGGCAGCAAGAGGAAGGACAGGTCATGCCTCCAAAACCCAGATCGGGTTACCCAGGGTGCGCCCTGCTCTGGAGGGTGTGCCTGCGCTCCTGGCCTTGCTAGGGAACTGTCCGGCGGCACAGGGGGACAAATAGGTCGTTCTCTGCATTCTGCAATCAGGGAGGACCTTGGCGAGGGGACATGTGGCCGCCGTCAGGGGGGGCTGCTCTCTGAAGATGGCCACAGAGGGAGTGACCATGGGGAGAAAAAGGCTTCCTGACCAGATAGACCAAACAGACCAGGGTCTGTGTTTGCCTGGACTTCTTGGGGCTTAAGAAGGCGCTCGTGAAGAGAACAGATCACAGTCTGTCCTACATTTTCTCTGCTCTTGATGTGCTTTTGCGAACTTTGCCTTGGAATCCTGCTGAAGAGAAGGGAGGGGAGCTCACTTCTGAGGCCCTGGGAGGGGACCTAGAAGCTGGGTCAGTTTCTATTTCTTGTTTATTAAGGCAGAATTAATACAGAACCTGGCCCCCGTGCCAGGCACAGCAGTCCCCGTCTACATCGCATCTGGGGGCCTTTCTTGCAGTCTTTTGACAGCATCGTATTTAAGTTCGAATTCAGACCCCTTCTCGAGAGGCAGCGGCTTCCAAGCCTCTGGGCCACTTTGGGTTTGGGCCGAGACCCTGGGACCTGTGCTTGAAGGAGGCGGCCAGGTAAGCAGAGAGTCTGGGGAGGGTTCAGGTCCTTTGAGAAGGTGCTGACCCAGAGGCTTCTGAGCCGGGGTGTCCTGAGAGGCACCTTGTGTAACGCTTGTGTAACACGGAAGGCTCGAGTGGGAATGGGCTGCGGATGTAGCGTATGAACTTAGCATGCAGGTTCTAGCCAAAAGGCCTCAGTAGTATCTGACCGGCCCATGCAGGGAGGTGCGGGGGTGGGGGTCGGGGCCAGCTCTGGCCTCCTTAGGATTTCACAAGGAGATGGGTCTCACATTCCTCAGGAGGAGAGAAACGAAGCCTTTCTAGAGCCATTCACGGAGGCCAGAGAGAGCCCCAAAGGCTTGTTCTGCTGAGGACACTGACTGCAGGTGCTAAAGAGCTTTGGGAGGGGGCGGGGGAGGGCACAAATGATAGGCTACAGGACAGGAGTGTCCCCCGCCCACCCCCGAGGGGGAGGCGTCAGTGTTTGGAACCTCGTCTTTGGCTTTTGGCGCTTGAAGCTGTCAGAAGGTTTTGAAGCATTTGGTATTCTCTGAGGGTGTGTGGCGGCTGACAGACCCAGACTGGTCCTAGAGGAGTGGAATGGCAGGTCTGCTTCCACGCTTTCGTCCAGACAGAGTGAGGGACTTAAGAGGACATGACGGAAGCCTAGAGGATGGCTAGCAGGAGGCCCAAGCGCAGGACCTCTGTGGGTTCCCTTGGGGTCAGCGTGGGTCCTTTTGTTTGGGGGGGTCCTCAGTGACTTTCTCCTGCCCTAAGCACACAGCTTCGCTTCCAGATAGCCTTCTCTGGTGCCTATGGAGCCAGGAGTGGGTCAGGACTGCAGACACTGGCTGAGTGAGTGCTGACATTTGTCCCAAAGGCAGTGTGGCCCACTGCTGTACTCACTGGGACCTGGGCCATTGTTTGCAGAGCCTTGAGAGGGTAGACTTTTCTGGGTTAGTCTGCCTGCTGTTGTCTTCAGCGAGGACATGAGCACAGGAGTTGAATGTAGGGTGGCTGGGTGATGGATGGGTGCGGTTTTTCAGTGTCCCCGACTTGTTGCAAAGCTTCAGTGTTTAGGAAGCCAAGGCTGCCTTCCTGCTCCCACAGCTCCTGGACGGGGAGAGCCTGGTAAACTATCTCTTTAGAATCCTAAGCCCTTCGAGCTCTAGGTGCATGGAATTATGATTTTATGACACGCCACAGCGCCCCAGAGCTGTCTTCTGATTTGGCCAGCGAGATTGCATCGCTGGCCTGGACCAGGCCTGAATACCAGGCTGGATGCCGTGGGTGGGTTGCATACATTCCAGTCATGCCTCCGCTGGTTCTGGAAGAGCCCTTTTGTGTCCATTGTGGTTGCGTGGACGTTGTAGAGCAGCTGTCCCAGGGAAGCAGCTTCTGCAAGCCAGGACCAGTCATCGAGGAGCCGCGTTTTGGGGGAACTGTGTTCCGGGTGTTCGACCACTCTGTTAATGTGTCCGTGTCTTTGCCTGTTTTCTTAGTTTCGTTGGTGCTTGTGATTAATTTCCCGTATTAGAGGCTATGGTGTAGGAGAGGCTGAGCTTAAGGCAATGAGCGCTGCTGCCCTCTGTGGGCTGCCTCCCATGGGACAGGGCCAGCCCTGTCACAATTCTGCTGGACAAGTCTGCTCATCCACGTGCCCGCGGCCTGTTTCCTGGCTGCCTGCCACAGGGCGCATGCGCCTGGCTCTCCGCAGACATCAGAACCCCATTGCAGAGCAGTTCTTACCTCTTGGTGACCTTTTCATGCTTCCTGGTAATGGCTTTCCTTGAAGGGCACTTCAGGCTGTTCAAACCTGCTTTGTCCCCTGCAGTCCCTGCGACTTAGGTGCTCTGGTGGCCGGAGGGAGTGTGCTGCTGGCTGGGTTGGGACTCGGGACCCTGGATGGACCCTTATGTCCCCTAGACTCACCTGAGCCTGGTTTGCTCTTGCCACTCGATGGTTGATGCTAACCCACCTGACGTTTTTCTCTCAGGACGCAGTGTTTTCCATGTCATTGGCCAGAGCCGCCCACCATGTTTTATGGGACCCACTTCATCATGTCTCCCCCCACCAAGAGCAAGTTGAAGCGGCAGAGCCAGCTGCTGTCCAGCATGCTGTCCAGGACGCTGAGCTACAAGTACCGGGACCTGGACACCACTTTCTCCAGCCTGGGTGCCAGCGACGACCCCGCGGAACTCTCCACCCAGCTCTCGGCCCCTGGGGTCCTGAAGGTGTTTGGGGACAGCGTCTGCACGGGAACGCACTACAAGAGCGTCCTGGCCACCGGCATGTCCAGCGCCCAGGAGCTGGTGAAGGAGGCGCTGGAGCGCTACGCCCTGAGCCCCGAGTGCGCTAGCCAGTACGTGCTGTGCGATGTGGTGGGCCAGGCCGGCGGCTCGGGGCAGCAGTGGCAGGCTGAGTGCTTTCGGGTCTTTGGAGATAACGAGAAGCCCCTCTTGATCCAGGAATTATGGAAACCCCGAGAAGGCTTGTCCCGGAGGTTTGAGCTACGAAAGAGGTCCGACGTGGAGGAGCTGGCAGCCAAGGATGTGGACACCATGACCGCAGGTGAGGAGGGGGAGACGCCTCAGGGAAAGCGGGGGCTGGCCTGGGGAGAACAAAAAGCCAGAGGCTCAGGGCTCTGTTTGGGGGAAAACTCAGGAAGGTATGTTTGCTCTATCACGGCGTTTAAGGACTTCATAGATTTCCCGCTTTAATCCAAGCTGCCGTGGGGACTGCGGTCCATCTCTCCTGCAGGACGGGGGGCTGGTGCTTTAGTCTTGCGGTCAGATGCCTGGGTGTCGAGAGCCGGGCGCACCACGTGCTCTGGGTCCGTGCAGGTGGCGAGTGTGTTAGAGAAGTCTGGAATCTCAGAGACTGGCCGGTGAAAGGACAAGGGAGGAAGTGGGGTCTCCAGAGGGGACGGGGTGCATTGGGTGGGCCTGGGTCTGTGGGTACCTGGGGCAGTTGGAGGCCTGTGGGCCGCTGCTCTATGTCTGCTTCTTGTTCAGTTGGTGGGAAGTTGATTATCTTAATAGGTGAACACCATAAATAATAATTTTTTTCAAACGTGGAAAGACTTCTAAATGTATTTTAAGTTGTATTTGTTTTTTTCTTAATTTCCTGGAGAAAATGGTGGCTCTATGTAAAGAAGGGACTTGTTCTGTGTGGCCCTGTGTTGTCGTGTGATTTCATGATGTCCCGGGGTTGAAAGGGCCTTGAGCCCTCCTGACCTGTTGTGTGTGTCCCCGAGGTGTTGCAAATGCTCATTCTCTCTAGCCCTGCTTCTCCTCCGGGGCCTGCTTTGTACTTCCAGTGTGTAGAGATGAGCAGGGGGTGGGGGGTCGGTAGGTCTCCCAGGGGCTGGGGTCACTCGGGCCTGATGGGAACCTCTGAGTCTCACAGTCCAGAGGGGGCCATGGTTGACATTCAGCAGCAGTGGCCCTCTGTGACCTTGGGCAAATTAGTTTGCCTCTTGTGGCCTTGGTTTCCCAATCTGGAGAATGGGGCCATGACTTCAGTATCATGGGTGTTAGTGATACAGTAAAGCGCTTAGCATGGTGCGTGGCAGACGTGCAGGGGGTCATAGTTGCGTATTATTAATGTTTCCTGTATGTGGCAAGCAGTCTGTTCCGTGTGCTCCTAGGCAGAAGTGAGCTGAGGACAGAGCTGGGGGTCCTTCTGATGGGGGGGAGTTACCCCTGACGGCTCTGGGAGTTGCTGGCACATGGTGAGAATCACAAGCAGGCGTGGGTGTAGTTTGTATCATTGTTTTCAAGCCTCCCTGGACCAGCACCCCGAGTTCCCCAGCTCCCCCGCAGGCCCAGGCTTTTTTTTTTTTTTTAATTTATTTATTTGACAGACAGAGATCACAAGTAGGCAGAGAGGCAGGCAGACAGAGAGGGGGAAGCAGGCTCCCTACTGAGCAGAGAGCCTGATGCGGGGCTCGATCCCAGGACCCTGGGATCATGACCTGAGCCAAAGGCAGAGGCTTTAACCCACTGAGCCACCCAGGAGCCCCCAGGCTTTGGTTTTTTATCTGGTCATGCCTTGCCTCCCACCAGGCCAGGCAGACCTGCTGAGGGCCTGCACTGGTGTTCAGCTCCTGGTCACTGTCTCACCTGGTGTTTTCTCTGCTGAGTGAAGGGCACAGGGGTCACTCTGCCCTTGGTGCCCGGCCAGGGCCTTTGAAAGCTTGCTCTGTGTCGTACAGGTGATGGCTGGTGGGGCCCTGGGGCCAGATGCCATCTGTAGGACACAGAACTCTGTCTCCTTCTTCACCAGCCCCTTATAGATGGCCTGCCTTTTATGTGAGCCGAGGCAAGAGAAGGCCTGATTGCCCACAGCCTATTCAACCTGGTGTTGGTTTTGCAAAACCTTTCAAATAAAGAGTCTATTGACAGGGACCAGTCTCACTGACACACTTCTCTGGGCTGGAAGTGGGTTGTGTTACCTGCCTGAAGCAGGCCTCCTGGACCCTGGGAAGTTGGCCTTTGCTGCTGGCCTTCCCTTGGGGTGTGGTCTGGGCACTCTGGGACCCCTGACCATGCTGTACCCCCCGCCCGTGATGGGCAAGACGGTGCAGTGAGGCATATGGAGGTCACGGGTCGTCTGAGCCGTCCCCCAGGAGCCACAGCGAACATTCCGTGTGTTTTGACGATTCTGGGCCAAGTCTGATAATGAGAAGGAATCTCAAGCTTGTTGGTCCACTTGCTTGGGAAGACTTTGCCCGGTGTCTCCTGCCGAACCCCACCTCCCCCGGCCCCTGCTGTGCCCGCCTGTCCTCTAGAGAGGGGGCGCCTCACTGGCCTGTGTGTGGCCGGGAGGCTGCGGGGGCGGGGGATGGGGGGATAGAGGGGACGTGTGCCCAGGGGCAAGCAACGCCTGCTGAGGTGGGGCGTTTGGTGTTCAGGACCCAGCTGAATTCCCCTGCACTGCGGTGCTCCACGCTTCTCTGCTCTCCTCCTTCCCCCAAAAGCAGGCAAGCTTGTCCCTACTCTTCCTGTGAGCCAGCAGCAGTCCACCTCGTCTGGGAAGAGTGGTGGAGAAGGGAAGGGACCATCTGCGTGTGCACATATGCATGTGTGTGTATGTGTGCATCTGTGTGCATCAGTGTGTGCAGTGTGCACGTGACTTCATGCGGCCTGGGGGTCGGGGCTCGCTTAGCCAGTGCCCAGGGCGTGCGTCCTGGTGGCTCTTTGGAGCTAAGAAGCAGCCGGGAGTGGGCGCTGGGAAGGCCCTCTTCCTGCAGGCTCAGGGGGGTCCCCTCTGAATCAGGGTGTAAAAGGGTGCGCCGGGCGCTTCCTGGGGCTCCCCTTCTCCGTTTGGACCACTGCTATGCACCCATAGTAATGCACTCAGGCACTCTGGGTTTTGTTTTCATAAACACTGTCTTTTCACAGCTGCCAGCTTCCCCCTGATTTCCAGAGTATCAAAATATTGTGCATCCGCTCCGGGAGAGAGGCGGCTGCGTAGGCGGGGCAGCAGGGCCTCTCCCACTCACGTATTCCCAGGAGGCTGGTGTTTCGGATCAGGAGCACAGACAGGGCTCTGGGTTCTGTCACTGACACGGAGATAGTGATCACTTCTGCACACTTTGGGGAGGGGTGACAGCTGGGCCATGTGGTCTCTATCAGTGGCTTGGGAGGGGGAGAGTGAAGGTTCCTTTGTGTCTCTAGGACTGAAGGGTGTGTTTAGCCTGGATTTCTCAGCCTCGGCCTCACTGACGTTTTCGGCCCGCGGTTTGCTGTGAGGGCTGACCTGTACACTGGAGGGTAGTTCGTAGTTCCAGGCCTCTGCCCGCTAGGTGCCAGCAACACTCCTACTCGCTGTGGCAACCGAAAATGTCTCCTGGCATTGGCGGGTGTCCCTGGGGGCAGACTGGTCCTGGACTGGGAAGCATCAGTTTGGACCCAGCGGCCTGAGCTTAGTTTGTTGGCCACAACAAGTGCTTGATCACTGGGGCCAGTGGTCAGTGTTTCCTGTATGTGGAAACGTGGCCGTGTGCCTTCATGGTCCTCAGGCCACGCTCGTTCTCTGTGGCTCACAGAGGGACTTGGGTGCCTTGAAAGCCCAGTAACTTAAGGGTGACATGCGGGGCTTGTTTTCCTGCCCGTGGATGCCTTTCTGTGTGGCCTATGTGGCCCTCGGAGGCTCGGCGGTGTTCCATTCCCTGCACATGGGGGCTCCTTCCCTGCCTCGGGTGTCCTCTGTGAAGGAGGTGAGCTTAGAGCGGGTCTAAAGCCTCTGACCCGAGGTGTGTAGGCCATGCCACTGCAGGGCCTCTCGGCCTCGGGGCTTGTGACCAACCACTGTACGGGGGTCTGTACAGTGTGGGGCATACAGTAGGGGCTCGTTAAGTGCCTGTTGAAGGACTGCTGCCCGTAAGGGGAGCAAGCTCCTCCCTGAGTCCCACTTCCCACGTGTGTCTAAGACTCCAGAGTTGGAATCCATTTTCTTTGCCGGGGCTTGGGGATGGGGAGGAGAGAGGGTGGTGTGCCGATGGGGTGGCGGTCCCTGGTGCAAGCTGTCGCTTGAGTGATGGGGACTGTGCCCCTTGGGCACCTGACTGTACAAGCTGCTCACCTCCCCTCTCCTTCAGGCCCAGTGTGAGTGGCCGGTGGTGGCAGATACATTGACTCTGAGCACCTGACTTCGGAGTGTGGTTCCTTAAACCTTTCCATCCACAGATGGGCAGATGGAGCCTGGACTCCCCCACCCCCCTGCCAGTGACAGAAATGCTGGGGCTGCCCTCTGCTGTCTCCACTCATGGATTGTGCACCATGAATTCTGTCCTCACACGTCCCCCAACCTCCCTGTGCTTTTGACATTTTCCTTCTGCAATGAATCTGCTCTTTAATAACTTCTCTCAGGATAAAAGAGGCCATCTGGGTTTTCATCTCCTTTTATTTGGGGGTGACTGCCTTGTGAGTCTTGAGTGAGACTCCTTTGAGCATATTCGCAGGGATAGAATCATTGTGGGCAGAGTTTATTTTACAGGGTTTGGTGAAAAGCAAGACAACTATCTCTTCTTATCAGTCTAAAGTCATTGAGCTTAAAAGACATTTTTGAGAATTTTTAATTCAAAGAGAACATAAAGTCGAATGGTTACTTGCTTGTACCCCGTCTCATCTTTAATTCCTTGTGTAGATTTTTAAAAAGTCCAGAACCTTCAGTTTCACAAAGAAGTGCAGTGTTGGAGGCGGCTTAACAGTCCTGTTCCCCTGAGCTGGGTGGCGCCCACCGGGGGGCCCGGCCAGCAGCACCCTCGCGTCCCCGGACACTTCCGGCCACATTATACAGGGAGCCTCCAAAGCTTACCTTCAAACCCACAATGGGAGGTCAGAACTGGTGTAAAATGTTGACAAGCTGTAAACTAGAGGGATTGGCGAAGCGGCCAGTGTGGACACTGCAGGGCAGGAATTTAGGCAGTGAAAGGAGAGTGTGTGTGCGGGCGTGTGGGCTCTCCTGGCGTGCTGGAGCCAGAGGGCTTAGGTGTCAGGGTGGGGGGACAAGCAGGAACACCAGACATCTGGCAGCCCTCAGATCCACTGTTCCTCATCTTTCTT